TGATGAAGAAATAGTAATAGAAAATAATGTTAATATTGATAATTATTTAATTTATAGTAGTAAATTTATTAATTATAATAATAATGGCATTAAATGTAATATATAAAATCATTTAGAATTTATTAGTATGCATATAGAAAAAAATAGGTAAAATTTGCTATTTTTTTTAAAAAAAAAACAACAGATATAGTTTTTCAAAAATTGTAAATGCGTTTATAAGTTTCAATACCATAAAATATTTTATTACATTTTTTAATAAAAATTTTTGGGAAAAATTTAGAGTTATGGGTTAAGATTATCTCACTATCTATTACTATTGTCAGAGTCAAAATCTGCGACTTTTGTTAAAGCCAAAATGAAGTTTACAAAATAAAGAGTATTTTATTTACTGTAATTTAGCTTCAATTCGATGTATGTAAATAAATATATATCATCAATTTTTTTTAACCAATTAGATCATTCTGAGTTAACCATATGGGCTGTGTTATCATTCAAAATTTACTGGTAAGAATATATATCAAAATTTAGCATTAATAGATAATAGTAATTTTGATAATATTTTTTAGCGTTAACAATTTAGTTAAAACAAATCGCTATAATTTGATTTCTTGAAGCAACCACTACTACCACTATAATAAACCAAAATATTGATTTATTGAGCCATAATGCCATAACAATAAATATTCTTTAAGCATTTTAAGCCACATAATATGTTTTAAATACATCAAATGTTGCTCCGTTCTTATTCAAATTTATTAATTACCCATTGGAAGATAATATTAAGAAATAATTTATTTTGTTATGTCAGCATCAACTAGTCAAAATGAAGACAATGATATCGAAGTCAAAATTGGAGGGCATCCTGAAAGCACAGATAGCACAGATGAAAAGGACATTACAAAATATTTTGCAATCAGTCCGGAAGGCGACTTTGTTGTTGAATTTGATATAGAAGGTAAATGTTTTTCAAAATAACGTTAATTAAATGATTTGTATTATTGATAAACTTTTAAAATTCTTCATTTAATTTAGAATTCAAATTACAAGCGTATATTATTGAACCAGATAAGGATTCAAGTATAGAAAATGACCAGAAATTTTCATACAAGAAGCTTTCCCCTATTCCTATCAAATTTGAATCTGCTAGTAAATCATCGCTATACTCATTTAAAAATTTTAAAAAGACTAGATGGTCTATTGCAGTGTCAGACAAATTAACTAGCACATCGGAGAGATTATTAGCAATATCTTGTGTCGGCTTTAGGGACATGGTGCATTATAATGACAGCTCTAGCATTGTGATGCCGATAGAAATTCCTGAAAATGGAAGCACCTCAGTATTTATTATTAACCAAATTAACGATAATTATTCAGTTAGTTCTATTGATGGTAAATGTTTACTGATTGTATATGGTGGAATAGTAAAATTATTCTCTAAACAAGACCATATAATTAATCAAAAGACTGAAAAAGATAAACAATCAATAGAAGAAAGTAGTCAAAATGTTGATGAACACTTTTTGATTCTCTTAAAATTTTCAGGGATCTACAAGTATCATATCGACATGAATAAATCTATTAGTAACATACAAAAATTAAAATATCCAAGAAGACTATGCAAAGCCATGATTAATAATATAAATACACAACTTATGGTTGGTAGTAAATATGCATATGACTATACATACGACTATATTAAAATGTGCTTAAATAGGCATTATTTTTTGGTTGATACTAATAAAGAAGACAGCAGCTACATAGAACTTTATGATTTAATGACAAACCAATTAGTAAATACCTTCCAAAGACAGATTTTAAACAAATCGATCTTGTTTGATGCTCCGACTTTATCATATGCAATATCAAACAATAACAAATTATTAGCATATGTATCTTCATCCATTAAAGGAATCATAATATATTCGATTGAATGCAGTCTTAAAATAGCAGAGCTTGCAGATATTGTAGACCTAACAGACTTTTATCAAATAGTTATTAATTTTTTTTCACAATGACGAGATGTTACTTATATATCATTCAGAAAATGAGTGGACGGTCTGGAATATTTTTGGATCATTCCGAGATTCTGTTAAATTAGAGAATCCAGAATTTATAGTGAAACTTCCAGTAGGGTATAGTGGTAATATAGAACGATCAAATTCATTAATAATCGCTAATGAAGGTAACAATCTGGCTATTTATGATGATTTGATCATAGATGAGTATTTGAAACATTTAAAAAAAGAACAAATAAAAAAAAATGGTGAACAAGATTGGAAGCAACTATCAAGTGATTTTTTGAGAAATGATCTTAATAATGTGATCCAAGATCTTCAGGGTAATGAATCAAAATTAGATGAAGATTACCATATGCTTGAACCCTGGTGTACAGATAATGATTTAATAAGGCCACAATATTCGTTCGCTCTTGATAAAGACAAATTGCTATTAATTGGAAACCATTCAATTCAAGTTTGGTATGATCAAGGTTTTAATAAAAGATCTCTTGAATTCATTTGTGTGCCCTTATCTTATTCGCGCTCCTTTCACGCGCACGATATTTCTGTGTCGGACTTACTTAAATGGCAATATAAAATAATACAAGTAAAAGACATTAAGTATTGTATCGGGAAGTTCAAGCTTAGCATTCTGATTAGAGATTATATAACTGAAATGGAAATGGAGAAGTATGATATTAAAATGGAAAATGAAGACGATATTATGAATGTAGTAAAATATGCATGTTACGCACTTAAATATTTTTCTGCTTTTAAAAAGTTGGAACAGAGTCATGAAGAGTATCAAAAATTACAATTCGATATCATCATAAAACAAACACGCAAAATAATATTAAGATTTATTAGATTGCATCCAACTGCTTGGCGGCTGTTAGAGTTTCGCTTTGGTTTAATGAATATTCTTATTGAAACGGGAGATTATGAACTTGTAAATGACATTTTGTCTTTTGGAGAATCGATTCATATACCTCAAAAATTTCCTTGGTCAGGTGAACAAACTACTATTCGTACGGCATTTTCAGGTTTGTATACTTAACATTGTGCTGAATACATATAAATATCAATACATTCTAAATATTAACACTTTACCTGCTTGAAGATTATATGAGTGCCGCCAAGGGAAAATGTCCCTCTGTAAATTATAATATATTATTGATTATTATCTGATTCAGCCC